TGATTTCGGACACTTAACTGTAGTCAGTTAAGGCAACAACAATATAGCGATTGATCAACATTGGATCGGGCATTTCCAAACGAGTAATCCTCTAGCTTGGTCTACGAATCCCGTTTATACATTTTTATCTAATTCATCGAATATTCATGTTTCACAAATCCATACTAATATGAGATCTATTCTAGAGGTTTTCTAGATAGCCTTAACATCAATTTTTTTAAATGTGTATACCTTAGAGTTCTTCTAGATACCCTTAACACTACAAATCATTTCATAATTATAAATGTATTCATTTTATTCATGATTCAATCATAAATACTTATTTTAATCAGTAGGTTCAATACTCATAATCATCCATAATATTCATTTATCATAATCATCAATTAACACAACAATTGATAATAAATAGCGGCCTAGCTTCGAGTGTTAACACCCGAATTTACCGTCATGCAACACATAACATTTTTAGTTGTTAAAAACATCATTTTTATTATGGTAAATCATTTTTATAATGGTCATAATCCATTGGTATCAAAAATAGGATTTTAGAGCTCAAAAGTAGCAATTTCGGACAAATTTTCGGATCAGAACTTCGGGGGATCGATCCAGCCCTTTGGATCGATCCATATGTAGAGAATAGTCCCAGAGGATCGATCCAGGCCATTGGATCGATCCAGACAGTCTGGTTTTGGTTACTGTTCATCTTCTTCTTCGTTCGGGTCCAATTTCGAAAATACCGTTTTTAGTTACCGAACTTCAACGAAACTATATAGAGATGTTCTCCAAGGTTCATAGATCATTTTGGCATCATTAATTCATAGTTTTAACATCAATTTCATGGTTTATGATTCTTGGTTCTTCAAGCATGTCAAACACAAAACTCAACCAAACGACCGTTTATGAACGTAGAAACGATCTATATGAACATTCTAGTCACTAGATATATCTACGGGCTTACCTCCAAGCTTATCGAAGGTTTTGAGAATTTTCCGGCGAAACTTCCGGCGAGGTTTCTGGCTAACTCCGGCGACCTCCAACTCTCTGGACAGCACCACTCCACTCTCCACACTCTCAGGGACAAAAAGGAAGAAGAAAGGAAGATTTTGGTGTAAAAATGGTATATGGAAGCCTTCTTATATAGTAGGAAGGAGAGGAAGCTGCCAAGGGAGAGAAACATCATTCACGTTCGTGGACGGCTCAGTGCGCTAGGCTGCGATTTGATTCGATTATACATGCCATTCTTTGATTGGGGCTAATTTTAGTTCCAGTCGGGGTACACTTTTTGGTCCAACTTTCTCTGAATTGAATTCCGTTTGCACCGTTGCGATCAGAGAGTTAAACTCTATCCATAAATGTAATTTTTATATTTATTTGTATCATTTTTTCCGACATCATATTTTTGGGTGGTTGACTTTGACAGAGTCAAAATTGGTTTAATTGACCTTTCTCATAAAAGGTTCTCTCATTTAATTCACATCAATTATTCTCATGATTTATTTCAACAAATCATTTCAATATTTACATTCTAAACAAAAATTTTTTTTATTTACTTTTGATTTGGGTCTGTACTCAGGTTCCCAATCAAGACCACACAAATAGTCCACATATTGGATTTATCTCTATGAGACTTATCCAGATTTTGATATTAGATGTCAAAACAAATTTAATATCGGCCCAAAGCCCAACAATAATTTATTTTAATTGAAACAATTGTGATTAATTGATTATTTATTCATTAATAATTCTAGGGTATGTTTTGGGGCGTTACAGCATCACTATTTATTTGTAACTTATTATTCATCAAGTATTTGTGTGATACCTCGTACCTTAGTACATGTATGATTATGTTTATATCAATGTGAATGTACTACGCGTTCTACTGTTAGATTACCACTCAGCTTTTGCTGAGCGTATAACCTTGTTTTCCTTTGCTATACGCAGGTAGGCAAGATGATCATGGAGCCTGACCCGGATGATTGGGAGATCCGGCGGCGGATCGACGACAGTGGGAATCAGACTTAATTTTATTTAATATTTAAAGCGTTTTGGGCATGAACCCACCGTTGTTGCACTTACTCTATTTATGACTTAACGTTAAGCGATTATATTTGCTTCCACTATAAAACGTTTCTTTTAAGTGAATTTAATTCCATCATTTAATAAAATATGTCAAGGGGTTTTTCCGTTACAAGCAGCGCAAGGGTTTTCCTTGTAGACGGCCTTAAACCGTCTACGTAACCTCTCTGGCTCGTTGGGCCGCGGCGAACCGGGTTCGCGGGACGGAGGGTGTTACAGGATGATTCTTCAAGTGTTTGTATGTCTTGGGTAGCTTCTTTTCTTCTTGGGTCTTATCAAGACATGAAGTTTCCAAGACTTCTTCTTCTTCATTGTTAGTTCCTGCGATTACATTAATCGATCCAAAGGGATAAGTTTTATCAAATTTTACATGCATAGATTCTTCGACTTTAAAATTTGATTTATTTAAGACTTTTATATGCTTCACTATTTGTTGAATACCCAAGAAAGATTCCTACATTTGATTTAGGCTCAAAGTTTCCCAAAAGATCTTTGGTATTCAATATATAGCACTTACAACAAAAAACTTTGAAATAGGAAATATTTGGTTTTCTACCTTTCCAAACTTCATATGGAGTCCTTTTGATAATAGGTCTAAGTAATACCCGATTTAAAATACAACATGTCGTCTTTGACAATTCTTGCAACGTTCTATTCATCCTCTCAACTACTCCATTTTGTTGAGCTGCTCTTTGTTAGTCGATGTTCCCACGCCTTATAGGGGGTGAATAAGGCGTTTGAAAACTTTTTGGAGTTTAGTAAAATTGGTGTTTGCAAATGTA